AAGATCATAATATCCCAACATTTGGGGCTCGTAGATAAAGGCAGGAACAGAGTGAGTACACAGGTAAAGTATCAGGGGGTAGCCGTGTTAGTCTGTATCTACAAAAACAACAAGGAGTCTGGTGGCACCTTAAAGACTAACTATCTGTTAGTCTTTAAGGTGCCACCAGACTCCTTGTTGTTTACATAGGTAAAAACTCAGGCATAAAACTTAAAACCAAGCTATAGAATCCACCACTACATTCACACTTCTGCTGCCTGCTTGAAAACCAGGCCAAGCCAAGCTGTGCACTGCAAATAGCCAGCTCTGTAACAATGTGCAAAAAAGCAACTCTCTCAGGGAGGGACTGATCAATATATTTCTTTGATATCCATGAAGCATCAAAGGTTTCACTGCTGAAGCTAGCAATCATGCACCAGTGGAAGTTGCAAATGAGAAGTTTCTGTCTATTTTCAGAGCGCTCCAGTGGGGGATGAAGCACGTAGGAGCATGTGTGTGTGTGATAGGAAGGATTATGCAAAGGGTGGCTTGTCAGAATCATCTCTGGGAATTAAATACAATAGAAAGAAAGAAATCACATCAGGAACCCGAAGATCAGGAATTTGGAAAATCAGAACCAATAACACTCTTGAGCTATGAGTGCCATGTGTAATATTATTTTATATTTAGAGACATGAATATAACAGGGTAGGTGATGGAGAATATGTTAGCTGTGACTTTGAACTTCCTGCTTCTCTCTATTAGACAAAGTGGGGGAGGTAATATCTTTAATTGGTCCAACTTCTATTGGAGAGAGAGACAAGCTTTTGAGCAGTATTGTTGTAGCCATGTCTGTCCCAGCATATTAGTCAAGGTGTGTGAGGTAATATCTTTTACTGGACCAACTTTTGTGGGTGAGAGAGACAAGCTTTTGAGTTTACATAGAGCTCTTCTTCAGGTCTAGTGTCACAGCTAAATAGAAGGTGGACCAGACTGTTTAGCGTAGTAGTTAACACATATTTCAAAGGACTATACAAGGTGAAGTGGCCCACTAACACCCCTCCAGTCATAGGGGAATGGAAGGGAGGGTAATATCTTTAATTGGACCAACTTTCCCAGACCTGAAAAAGAACTGTCAGCTTGAAAGCTTGTCTCTCTTACCCACAGAAGTTGGTCCAATAAAAGATATTACCTCACCCATCTTGTCTCTCTGATACCTTGGGACCAACACAGCTACAACCACGCTAATGCTTCTCTCTATGTAAGTCAAACTCTTAACATGATTTGAAATTAACAGGTACATGTAAGAAAGTGATAGAAGTCAAGTCAGGGGTGTAATCTGAAAGCATCCAGTTGCAGCTATTTCACAGAAAGGTGCAAGAAACCCTGCAGTGGGCAGCTGAGGGATAACCCTTGCATAAGGAAAGTATCTGCGTTCCTAGCTCCTGGTGCCCTGCAGAAACTGTTTCTCTTCCAAAACAGTTAGGGTCACACCCCCAGTTGGTATAAACTGCCATAGTTTCGTGGTCCTTTGTTTTAACTTTATTGTTATAGCTCAAGTTCTCATTATCCATAGCAATATCCAATCCCTTTGCTTTGATCTTGTGGCAATTAGTCCTACAGGGTAGGTGGGCTTTATGCTAAAGTGCTTATTTTCATGGGTTTAAAATTTTCTGTCTTTGTATTTCATTGAATGTCACCTGCCTCTTGTATTATGTGTGAGAAGGCAACTGAAAGCGTGGACCACATCTTAATAGAAAAATTGACACTTGGGCCCCACCTCTTCACCGATTAATGGATTAATAATGTCCCTGTGGTGATTATAGCAATTGCTTAGATGGAAAAATTAATGGTAGGGAAGTAGTTGCAGCATTTAATGTTGTCTTAGCAGCTGGAGAAAAGGAAGAAGAGCCCTCACCATGTAGCCAGTCAACTCCCCAGAGACCACCTGGGGTCGCTAGGCCACAGTTTGAGAAGCTCCACCCTCTATTTCTGTAAAGAATTGGTGAGACCACAATTGATTATTGCACACACTGCAAACAGGATGTTGACAAACTGGAAAGGGTTCAGAAAAGAGCTGCAAGAACCATTTGAGGTCTGAAAAACCTGCCCCACCGGGAGAGACTAAAAAATTCAATCTGTTTTGTTTATTCAAAGGAAGGTTAAGCGACAACTTGATCACAGTCTATAAGTACCTACGCAGGCAGATTTCTGATAGTAGAGGTTATTTAGTCTAGCAAACAAAGGCAGAACAACAGCCAATGGGTGGAAGCTGAAGCTAGAATAATTGATTTGATTTAGTTGGGAATTGGTCCTGCTTTGAGCAGGGGGTTGGACTAGATGACCTCCTGAGGTCCCTTCCAACCCTGATAGTCTATGATTCTATGATAATTCAGAGCAGTAGAAATAAAGTGCAAGCTTTCAGTGGTGAGGTTAGTTACCCCCTGGACCCGCTGGCTGAGGGTATGGTAGATTCTCAATCACTTAAAGTCTTTAAAAGATTAGATGTATTTCTAAAAAATATGCTGTAGCTCCAACGGAAGTTACAGGCTTGATGCAGGAATTACCGGGTGAAATTCCCTGGCCTGTGTTATGCAGGAGGACAGACTATGATCTAATGGTCTCTTCTGGCCTTAAAATCTGTGAATCCATTAATAGTCTGGGGTAGATTCTCAAGCTTCAAAGCTCCTTGGAAATCTGCAGTCCAAAACTCCACTGGGCCGGGATGGTTGTTTTACTTTAAATTACAGTATATTAAAATCAACACAGCCCACGCTTCAGTTCCACTCTGAGGAATTCACCGTCTTAATGTGGGTCATGGAATGGCCTTTTTCTTGGCAACAAGAGAAATGAAAAATAAAATAGATTAATCCTGGTGGAGACTCCTTTGACGACAAGGAATTAAAGGAAAGGACATTGCTGTGTTACCAGGCCTGACCTTGGATATTTTAATCTCATTATGACCATGTTCCTGTCCTATCCAGAGCCATTTTACGAGCAATTTTTAATTCCACAATTGATGCTTGGAGCTCACAGGGGGCTGTGGTGTAGAGAATAAAGGAGCTTTATTTTTATTGTTAGTATTTCACTCACTTTAAATGTCTTTTTTTTTTAAGCTTTGGGGCAGATACTTCACTGCTAATAAATTCTCTAGGTTGTTTGTTATTTCTCTGGATTTGCAAGTAGATGGCTGTGTATTAGCTCACCCCTCCTCCCTGTGGCTCTCTGGGTTCTTGTGACAACACTAGGAGGGGACAAATCTGGGTACTGGTTGGACCCTATCTCTCTCCATGTGATACCACTGACAGCTGAGCTGGGGCATGGGGGTCTGGTGGCAGAGCATTAACCCCCCCTTCCATAACAGTCCTAGGCTCTGGGACTGTCTTGCCACTCATTGGTCTGACAGACCCCAGAGTTGTTACCCTATAAGGGCATGCTGCAAACCTCAATGGAGATTTTCGAAGCCGTGCAGGAAAATTAGCCACCCAGCTTCACACTGAAATGACGGAAAGACGTGGCCAAACTCCCTGCATGGCTCTGAAAAATCTCAGCCCCCGCCCCATCTTTTATTCTTAGGTCTCTGGGGAGGTTGTTGGGCATGATGGGAGAACACAGAGGGTGAGAGGGGTGATAGAGTGGGGAATATGGCCCTTGGTGTGCTGTGAGAATGCAGGGGGTGGGGAGTGGGGAATGGGGAGCCTTTACCTGGGGTTTCATGTCTGGGAAATGAACAGGTGAAAAAACCAAACAGCAGTCGTTAGGCCTGGTTTGCTCTCCTCTCGCTCCCCGTGGTATGACACCATGGATTTCAGTGGCGCTCCCCTGCCTGGTAGTGCCCAAAGATCCATGAGAGTGCCAAAATCTCCTAAGCAGCTTCAGTGCCTGACTCCCACTCGGAGCCAGTGGGAATTAGGCACCCAACTCACTCAGGCATTGTTGAAAATCCCAGTAGGCACCTCTGCATCTTCAGGTCCCTAAACACCCGTGTAAGTCTGGGCCCCTAGTCTAACAAATGGGAGTTGCTGGGTGCTGAGCTCTTTTGTAATTATCTGGCCCCATGTGCTGCGGGACTTGGAGCTCTTCAGAGATGCCCAGCCTGCAAACCCTCCCTGCGACAGCTCCTCTGCCTTATCTGCCACTCTGCCTCTCTTGAGAGGGGAAGGACCCCTTTGACGTAGCCTTGCAGCCTGTGCGAGGCGAAGGAGACCCTTCTGCTCTGACGAGATGGGTTACGGGCACGGTGCGAGGATACACAATTGCGTTAAGAATGGTGAAACAGGTGGAGGCAGGCCATATAAATACCTAAAAGAGACAGACGGGAAGCCCAGCACCTCTCTCAACCCAAGCAAATGAGGAACTGACTCAGAAAGATCAGCTAGGACTGGCTAGAGTCTAGACTGGAATTCATCTTGGCTTCTTAGGGAGCCAGCTTGAGAACAACTGTTCCCAAGGCTCTGGGATTTGGCCCTATTGAAAGGGTGGGGTGCTCTCCTGCTAAGAAAGATCCCACCCCACCCCCCAAAACTGAGCTTGTTGTTTTGTTAAAAATAAGCATGAACCCAAATATGAAGGTTGGAATTCAAGGCTTCATGGTGTTTTTTTGTGGCTGGCAAAGCTTGCCCTGGCAGGTTTAGCCTTGGTGTTTGCAGAAGGAATGAGTCAGGCGGTTAGCCCAGTTTAGTGCTTCGGGGATGCAGTCATGGCCAATAAGAAACACAGGGACTAAAACCAGCATTTACCCTTATTGACAACATTATTACAAGCTTTATCACATTTTCGCTTTATGGCTTGGGGCACTAGACGTAGTTAATCTCCACAGGAAACTTGGTGGTTTCTTTGTGAACCATTCTGCATGGCAGAGGCAGCCTCCTCCGTATTCTGTAATGATGCAGAATTAGCCTTTAATGTTTCAGCTGCTTAGAACAGGAATGCTAATGACCTTTGCATTTCCAAGATTCCAGCAATGCAATTTAGGGGATGGAGCTCTGAGGAAGGCTGACCTACTTTCCCTCTGTTTGCAGATCTCAAATGGAGCCACATCTGCTGCAGGAGAACTGCTTGTGGGTGAGAAGACTGACTGTTGATTTTCTGATAGATATGTAAAAAGGGTCAGGAACAAAGCTTGTTAGACTGTCTCGCTGGCGTTTCACTGCCTGATGCTGACTCTTTTTTCCAGCCTATTTTTAAACAGCTCTCTATTTCTGATGTCTTATTCTCATACTGCTTTTACTTACAAAAGCAAATTCAGTCAGAGCAATGAGTGACAAGCAGCAGCAAAAAACAAACAAAAAACCACACACCAAAACCCCCAAAATACCACAATGCTGGGGATTGCGGAGAAGCAAGCTCTGCCTGAGGATACTAAGAACTTTTATATAACAGCTTTGGTGAGCAAGCGGGGTCCAACGGTCAGGTTATTAAGCTGGGAGACCCAGGTTCATTGCCTGCTCTGTTACATTCCTGTGAGACGTTAGGCAAGTCACTTAGTTCAGCCCTACAAGCGGTCACTCAGTGCTGTTGATAGCCCCATCCTGCAAACTGTCTCCCTGCCTCAGTTGCCCATCTGTGAAATGGGAATAATAGTACTTCCCTTTCCCACAGGGGTGCTGTGAAGATAAATATATGAAAAGTAGTTCCCAAACTTTTTATGTGATGCCCCCCCCTTACCCAAATGTAATCTGTCCATGCACCCCTGGGAACCTGGGCTGGGGCTGCGGCTAGGGCAGGCTCTGGGACTGGAGCAGTGGTCGGGAGCGGGGCCAGAGCCAGAAGCCAGGCCACAGGAACGGGTGGGGCTGGGGCTGGAGTGGAGCTGGGTGGCATGCGTTCGCTTCCCACCCCCTGTGAGGGCTGGCCTGGGCCCTGCCGCATGCTCCATAGTTTGGGGACTGATGTCTTACTGGGATGTGGCCCCTTTAAGGTGGGAGCATTGGGAATTTTAATTGTCAGGTGCAGCACTTAAGGGGTCAGGTGACTGAGGCTCCCGTGGAACTATGTAAGACAAGCAAAGAGCACTGTGGCACCTTTGCTGCTTTTACAGATCCAGACTAACACGGCTACCCCTCTGATACTATGTAAGACAGAGCTTTTACTCTAGTCTGGGAAAAAGCTAGGGGTTGGGAGGAGTGTGTGTGGGCTGTGTAGAAAAGGGCAGGAGAGTAACTGGAGGAAAACAGTAGTTCAGAGTCCTGTATGAACTTGGGGAGAGGTGGGACAGCAACAAGGCCCATAGAGAGGTGCTGAAGTCTAGAGACAAAGATGACTGTGGAGCCTGAACTAGGAAGACCTGGGGAGCCTGGATACACAGGTGAAGGAGGGTCACTTCTTGTAAACCTATATGACTAAGCCAGGCCCTGGAAAGGGAGACTTTCATTTTAAAAACCCCTTTGTGTGGGGTTCCCTTGGCCACAGCAGGGAAAGAAATGGAGGGGATATCTACACCATAGTTGGAGGTTGGATAGCTTTCTCCCTGCTAGCTTTACTCTAGCTAGCGTGGCTAGAAATTACCCTGAAGATATGTTTCAGAGTAGCAGCCGTGTTAGTCTGTATCCGCAAAAAGAACAGGAGTACTAAATTTGTTAGTCTCTAAGGTGCCACAAGTACTCCTGTTCTTTTTCCTGAAGATATGGTGTCAGGGACCCACTAGCAATGTGAAGTCACACCAGGGTTCTGGGTGGGCTTACACAGCCTGCCTTGGGGTCTGTGCCTCTGTGTTTTTGCTGCTGTTTTCAGCTGTGTTAGCTAGATTAAAGTGAGTACAGGTTTGCCTACTCATGCTCTAATCACTTGTCCAATTGCCCTGTGGAAAGGGCTGTGCATCTGGGCAGAAAAGGTACAGTGACCCTGTGACAGAGGAACCAGGGAGACAGCTGAAAGGAGAAGCCTGATCTAACCAGTCTTTATTTTCCTTGCTGCATGGAGCCTTGAGTCTCTCCTGCTTCCCTGTAGGATGGACTGTGGGACACCACTTGATCTGAGAGCACTAATTAATTACCCAAGCCAGCTGTAATTGGGATCCAGGAGTGAGCAACTCCATTGATGTGCCACTCTTCCTGCTGCAGCCCCAATTCCTGGAGGACAGTGTGTTTGTGTGTCTGGGGAAAGCAGCTGAGCTCACCTGCACAGCTTTCTCTTGCCATTGCCAACTCTTCTGCACCCTGCTGAGCCCAGGGCATGAGCTCTCCCTAGTCCTAATTACACAATCATCCCAGAGTAAACCAAATAATTAGTGTTTATACCAAACATGTAATATAAGCCTTGAATACAAACTGAGCTGGAGCTTAATTTTTTTAATTGCACTTTGCAGTAATCACAGCTCTCTTTAATTGACATCTTTACACTTTGTTAGCAAGAGTCATGAGAACCCCACTCCCCATGTGTAGTATGGGAGGTTGCAATTCACACCCATTTTTTGGAAGCTTGAGTGCTGCATGGGTCTTGTGCTGACCCTGTGCATTGGGGTACATGTCACTGTCACCACTTAAGTCTGATCTGCATATGGATTTTGTACCAGTATGCCTGTCAGTTAAGGGTGTGATTATTTTTACCCATAGTCTATCAGTACCAGTACAACCCCTAGCGTGGACACAGCTATACTGATATAGAAGTGCCTTGTAATAGTATAGCTTAGTCCCGGTATTTGGTTAAGTTAGACTGGTATAAGCACTTTTATACTAGCATAACTACATCCATGCTAGGGCAGTCGGTCATTTCTCCTACCTTGAGTCTATTGCCAATAACTCAGGCAGCATCGAGAGAGAACTTTAAGCCCATGCTGCGAAAGTGTCATCGGTAATGGGGTATCTTATCAGGGGCATCTTTTGCAAACTGAGCACCCTGATAAGTCAAGAGACAAAGCGGGAGTTCGGGGGGGGGCTGTCAGGGGGTGGGGAGTGGTTGGATGGGGTGTGGGAGTCCCTGGTGTCTGTCTGGGGGTGGGG